TGGTTAAAGATACTTTGTTTAGAGGTAACGGGCCCCCGCCTACATGACCACAACGCCTGCGATCCTAAGGATAGGCCAACCCGCACTACACAGATTCACTGCGTGCACGATATTGCCTACATAACAGGGGCTATAGAAGCTCACAAAGGTTAAACATTCAAGTTCAACAGCGCACAGCCGACAGGACAGGACCAGGCAATAGAGGTAAGAATACAGTCAGGAAAACTTATTCGAAGTGAACCATGAACAATACAACACAACAAAACAATAACTTTGGGTTCCAATTATCATATTGTTGTGACTATAGTAACCAGATTCAACAGACTCATATTCTAGGCACCATTTTTTTTTAACACTCAAAATTTTAAGTTCCCCAATCATTTTTCTTACAATGGATCACACGGTGAGTAATTAGTATCCCTCAATGTAAAATGTAATATGTACAATGTAATATGTACATACAGTCTCTTTATCATATGCATTATTGATGTAACTGCATAAAAAAAAAATCCAACCCCCCTTTAAATGATCAATGTCTCTTTTTGATGTCATTGGGATGTCAAATTTGACTCAATTTGTCAAATTACAGTCCAAAGAACATCAACAACAAGTATATACATTCTTAAAACTTATGGTTCATTGCAGGCAAACGATTGTGATTTCACTTTCAATTTTAGTTTCATAGATGAAGAACCAACTGTTTTTGAAGATGCAATGGTTGTAAGTCATAAATTAAAAAGTGTTCCTTATATTGTGATGTTCAAAACAAACAACTTACATATTCTTTATAATTTTAGGCGTATGAACACACTCACAGGATAAATTTGGATAACAACGTATCAGTGAACATACCTTGTCAATACTACAAACAAATTTACATCGACTACGAAGCAATCACAACAGTAAGATTATCAATTTCCTGACTCTTCAAGTGTTCTTGTTTGCAACCAAATTATTATTTCAATGTACTTGTTGTAGATCAAATCAGAATGCCTATCAAAATTATCTACCTACACATTGCCATCTTCATCTTCCAATCAATCAGGGGCAATAGTATCCCTTGTCATGTCAAAGGTATGTTTAATCTTTTCCCTACCACTCTTTTTGAACCTAAACAAATAAGTTTATCATTGACAGCCCAGTAAATATTTTCCATGAACAAAATACAATTATAACTATCCCATCATCAGGTTGTTGAACTTCAATATGACGTCCACATAGCATTTGTGGGTTGGCTATCTATCGTTCTTTCCCAAACATCATTCGCTGAACAGTTTCCAAAACAATGTCACATAACTCCAACAGAGCCAAGAAACATTATCGAAGAAGAAGATAAAGAATCTGTAAGCGTACCTTAGTCATCACATTACATCTAAGAAAGTGATTTGAACTGGTCTGTTACAAGTACAACTTTTTAACATTTTCTCAGACTTCAATTGACACGGATTCTGATGATGAGGAAGATCCAAAAAAGACAAAAAGCAAGACTGACACAGAAAAGAAGGTAAGAATCTGAACATTTCTTTACATATCTTTTTATTTAGAGTTTTAATTAATTTTTTTTTTTTATAGTCCTCAGAAGGAGAAGGTCAGTCTTCGAAAGACACCTCAAAGAAGTCCTCAGATAACGATCACACTTCCAAAGATAACTCAAAGAAGACAATGAAAAGAAAATCAGAAAAGGTATGATTTCCTATGACACATAAATTGCCTTAAAAGTTTAAGTAAACTGATAAATCCTGTATTTTCAATATCCTAGTCTAAAACTGATATGGAAGACAAAGAAAATTCTGAGTCAAAGAAAGAGAAAGGTGAAAGGAAAAAGAAGAGGAAGCGATCAAAATCAAAAACTGATGACGGGAAAGAATCTTCAGATGAGGTATGTGCGTTAAGTATCTAAATTTTTGCTAGCTGTAGTTGAAATTATTCAAGATGCTGCTACAATTTTGTTAAACTGTGTAGGAAAAGTCTTCAAGCGATGAAGAAATAAATGCCTTAAATCATGCTGCATCTAAAATTCCAACTTACAAATCAATTAAAAATTTAGTCAGAAAAAAATTTTATAAGATAGAAGAAATTGCACATGTTGAAACTTCAAAAGGAAAAACAATACGGTTACGACTTGAAGATAGTGATGTTCCAGATAGATATTGCTTTGTACATATGCCACAAATTGTAGTTCATGAAATGATTGGAATGCTTGACAAATTGAAAGAAAAATGTAAATCGGAAAAGGGCTTATATTTCCAATACCGAGGAATGAAAGGGCTTCACTTTAAGATTAGGTTTTCGAGGCATCCCAAAAAATCTTAAAAAAGTGTAAACGTATGATACACATAGTGTTGTTATCTCATGGTATAAGGATGAAATATATGTATTCAATTAATTTGTACTTCTTGTTTTATTTACTATAGGATAGAGACAATAAGATGAAAGAAAGGGCCAAAGAAAGACAAAGAAAAAGAAGAAGTAAAATGAATGACCTACAAAAAAAGCATGAAAGAGAACAAGCCAGAAAAAGAATGCAAAAAAAGAGAACACTGGAGACTAACAATAAGAAAGAATTACTGCGTAAAACCAATAGAGAAAGAAGGTATAATCAAAGGGTTCAAAAACGTACAGGTATACCTTATGATCCAAATGGGCCTTTAGATATTGAACAATACAACTTCAATTGCTTTCTAAAAAGTTTGACATGGTTTGAGTGTAAAAGTTGTCACCAAAAAAAAATAATATCATCTTTTTCAAAACCTAAATGTAGCGCCGATTGTAAAATGTTTACTGAGCAGAACGACATGGATCCTCTGTCTGTACCAGAGGAACTTCTGGGCTTAAGTTACATAGAAAAACAACTAATAGCAAGAATTTATACGGTTATGTCTTTATACCGCTTTAAAACATGTCAATACAAATACAAAGGCCATGTGATAAATTTTACACAAGATGTTCAGCAAGTAGCAGATAAGCTACCACATTTAGTTGCTGATCTGAATAATGTTATTATTGTCAAATTGCATGAAAAGATTTTCCTCCAAGATTTTGTTGTTAGAAAAGATAAGGTTTTGAACGCTTTATTATGGTTGAAACAGCATAATCCTAACTATTCAGACCTAGTCATTGATTATGAAAGAGTAAACTTACTACCAGTCAATGACAATGTTTACAATCAGTTAAAAACTTTAGATGAAGACAATAATACAAAAACACTAGGTGACTATCTGTCTGAAGCAAATAATGCCACTGATTCTGAAGATGATTCGGATCAAGATGAAAATGATGATATTAATTTATCTTTCACTGATGTACCAGATATTTTAAACTCATCACTCAAAAAGTCAATTGATAAGGTATTGATTTGGCCCTCTATAGGTAAAACTCCTGTAAATGAATTTAGTTCACCAGGTTTTCTATCTATGGCTTTTCCTCATTTGTACCCCTATGGTAAAGGAGACTTTTCTATGCCACGGGAAAAAAAAATTCACCTAAAGGACTACATCAAACATTTAATGTTATACAAAGATCAAAGATTTGCTCAAGATGAAAGATTCCGATACTTCATAATGAATAGTGAAATGAGGTGGGCAGCACTGAATATAGGAAATATTTACGTGAAAAAAAATAGTTTCTTCTCTAAAATGTCTGTTATACAACTTAAAGATTTTTTGAAAAAAAATCCAGCTATGGTTAACCAAGTCATGCATTTTGGTTCACGATTGAGAACAACAAAAAGTTACTGGAAGTCAAGATGTGGAGAGTTGTTGGATATGGTTAACCAAATAGGTACACCGACAGTTTTCTTTACACTGAGTAGCGCGGATTTTCAATGGCCAGATTTGTATAGATTACTTGGTCATGATGTCAAATCATTGTCTGTTAAGGAAAAGTCCGATTTACTATCCAAAAATTCTTTAATAGCAGATAGTTTTTTCTATGCAAGGTCAAAATTTTTTTTAGAAAAATCCTTTAAAAACCACTTCAATGTAACTGATATCTGGTATCGATATGAGTTCCAGCACAGGGGCTCAATCCACGTACATGGCCTCGCTTGGTTTAAAAATGCACCTAAAATCACAAAAGGTATGACAGACAAAGAAAAAAAAACTGTTCTAGAATACTACACAAATCTAATATCATGTGATAACCCTGATGTTAATTTGACACCATCAATGATACATCCATGTCAGTTGTCATTAGATGACATTGACGACTTTGACTATGACATGTCGCAGTTAGTGAATTACCTTCAAAGGCATACAAAATGTCGTAAAGATCATTGTCTCAGGAAAACATCCAAAACCAAAACATTAACATGTCGATACGGATTCCCAAAAGATTTAGTTCAAGAACCAGAATTAATTTTCAAAGGTGATGAAGTTGTTGATATTATGTTTTCCAGAAACGATAACTTTGTCAACAAGTACAATGAATGGATTTTGCAAACATGGAGATCAAACATAGATGTCTCACCTATACTTAGTCAAGGTATAGTGTACAAATACATTGCAAAGTACGCATCAAAATCAGAGCCTAAATCACTATCTTACAATGAGATTTTGTCTGCTATTATTGAAAAAAAGTGTGAAGCTGCAGACCCTTGCAAAAAAGCAATAAGGAAATTACTGTTATCATCTTGTGGAGATAGAGACTATTGTGCCCAAGAAGTTTTTCATTATTTAATGGGGTATAAATTTTATCATAGCTCAAGAGATTTTGTAGTCATTAACTTAAGATGCATAGATTGGGTTAATGTAAGTTCTGTGTTTAACAACAGTAATCTAATTGAGATGTACTCAAAAAGACCTCAGGAATTTGGTAAACTTTCCCTATTTGAGCTCTTAAAATATTACAAAATCTTATCAGGGTCTTGGGTTCACAGAAAAAAAAAGGGTGCCATTGTTAGATATTTCCCTAGACCTGTTAAAAATGAAAACAAAGCTACTTTTTATGAATACATGTCTCAAATATTTTACCCATGGAGAATGATTGATGATGTTGAGTATGTGAATGAGGAAATGATGATGCACACAGACAATCTCATTCATAAATTTATCAACAAAAATAAAACCCAGGTAATAGATCACATTGACACTGAGAGTAGTAGTGATTCTGATTCTGATTCAGAAAAAAGTATGCAACATTCAAAAAACTTATCAGATAATGAAAGTGTGCTAAGTAACTTTAACCCAAACAATGTACACAAGAATATAGATATTGAAACGTCCCAAAAAAATCAATGGGATAAGTTATCAGGTAAAATTACCATTGAAACAGTTCAATCAGTTAATGAAATGTTAAAGACTTACTTTTATGAACAAGACCAAACAGACTATGATGTTAAACTATTGAATCATGAACAAAAAAAAGTATTTGACTTTATTTCTTCATTAACTATTGACCGTAAAACCAAAAAGGTGATGACTTCACAGTTTTGTATAGTGCAAGGAATGCCTGGTACTGGAAAAACTTATCTACTTAAAATGTGTGTAAAACATTTACAATACAACTTAGGACATTCAGCTGTAAAAGTAGTAGCACCAACTGGTGTTGCTGCAAAACTTGTAAACGGTAATACAATTCATTCATTCTTATCTTTAGGTCGATATGGCTTCAATGTAGATTCACTTAGCGGCATTGACCTACATTCTTTTAAAGAAAAACATGAAGGCCTAAAGTTCTTATTCATTGATGAATGTTCTATGGTTGGATTGAGAATGTTAGCCTGCTTAGAAAAAAGATGTCGAGAGTTAACTGATGATTCAAAAACTTTTGGAGGCCTCCAAGTTTTTTTCTTTGGAGATTATAACCAGCTTTGCCCAATTGGTGATCAACCCCTCTATAGTGAGACAAATATTTATTCTCAAAACAATAGTTTACTTGAAAGAGGTAAATTACTTTTGAACGAGATTACCAATGTTTTCATCTTAAACATTTGTCATCGGTTTGCAAACCAAGAATATGTAGAGTTTTTGAAAAGAGTCAGTGTAGGACGGTGTGTTGAAGCTGATGTCTTATCTTTTCGCAAGAGATGTATCAATCGTTTAAGCAATGATGAAAAACAAACCTTTAAAAATTCATTGTATATTACATCCACTAATGAAAGAGCATTTGAACTCAATATGAGCAGATTGAAAGACTTGAATGAACCAATAGCTTTTCTTAAGGCTCAAAATAACAACAAGGTTGCATTTTTATCATCAGACGACTTAGCTGATGGTCTTGTCAATGTTCTGTATATTTCAAAAAATTCTAAAGTTATGTTGCGCAAAAATCTCAACATTTCTAGAGGTTTAGTTAATGGGGCTATTGGTATTGTGAGACACATTATTTATGAAAAGAACAAACAACCACCATCTTTACCAATGTGTGTTCTGGTACAATTTGAGTCTGTTGTACTTCATGACTTAAAGATAAAATATGTTCCAATTGTTCCTCACCTAACTAGTTGGTACAAGAATGGAATTTTGTGTTCTCGCTATCAACTACCTTTAACTTTATGCTGGGCATGTACAATTCATAAGTCCCAAGGGTTAAGTTTATTATCTGTCATTTTAGATGCTGGTACTTCTGAATTTGCCCTGGGATTATTGTATGTTGCACTCTCTCGAGTGTCTGATAAAAAAAATCTATGTCTAATCAGTTACCTCACTTTAGAAAGATTAAATTCAGTAAAAAAGTCTGTTCGATTTAGGCTAAGAAGAAAATTCTTGCATAAGCTTAAAAGAATAGCAAATTTGTAATAACACACACTGCTGCAATACAAAATAAACCTCACTCTTGAAATTCTTCCTTATGAGCTTTTATTTCTTGAAGTTATATAATGCTCTTGTTTCTTAAAATTGTATGTTTCAGATGTCAACAAACAACGATTTAAAACAAAGACGCTGTCAAAATTGTAGTACAGAAACTAAAACCACATGTAAACAATGTCAATTGACACTGAAGAGAAGACTGTATATGAAATCTTACAGAGAGAAGAACATAGAAAAAAACAGAGAAAGGCAAAAACTTTATCAAAAAAGGTACCTTAAAAAAATGACACATGAGGAAAGAAGATTGTTTTTAAAAAAAGATTCAATGCGTAAAAGGAAGAAAAATAAATAAAATCACTGTACAAAGTGACTTGAGGTTTCTTTAGGAGGTATCACATGTTTTCTTTCATTCAAAAATGATGATATGACAAATTTAGATAAACAATTTTCTCTGACTTATATTGACAGCACTTGTGAAGCATAACTCTATCTTGATACAATGTCTATTTCTTCATGTTGCCTGTAAGTCATTATCAATGATTGTAACTTCATTTTCAACCTTATTTCATAGTAGTTTTTAAAAAAGGTTAATTTTACATTTTCACATCGTTACCTTTTCTGATGTTAATTTTTTTTTATATACATTGAGTATCTTGGGCATTTTGCATCAACCTCTTTGCACATAAGCATCTGAAACTATATGCAAGACTTCCTTTGCAAAAATGACATTTTGCGTATTTTCTTACATGATTTTCAACAAGGATGTGACAGTCGACTTGACTTCCCAATACTTTCACAAAATTTATGAAAACCTCTTCAGTTTGACAGGTCCCACACATTTTTATGATGTCATCATTTACCGTCTGTGCAATTTGGTACTTTACATTAACACAAAGAAAGCAAGGTATGGGAGTCATTGTAAATTTTACCCCCATACTGAAAATTTATTTTCCTTTTGAAACTTCAACAATAATCTGTGTAGGACATTGTTGTCTGCATTGTTATCTTAAAGAAAGATTTCAATGCCCATAATACAATGGGTATTTTCTACAAAACAGCTTACATCAAGAAGTACACATGATGAATGATACTCAGATAGTTCAAGACATTATCATTAGTTGTAGTAACTGATATTTTGGGAAGATTGAAAATTAGTTTTGCATTGAACACAAAAACATTGGCAACTGAAGTGTAACATTGTCCAGATTTTTGACACAAAACAACTGTTTGGGCAACACTTTCAATATCATTGAACACAAAATAACTGAATCACAAAGTGAGAAAAGCGCCTAACACAGAATGGGTAGGCCAACCCGCAAGACAAATGTGTAAAATGAGGGGACTACCTACAAGGGCTACCAGGATAGGTACATGAGTAAGATAAGCAAGAAAAACGCTTCCACTAAACTGACACATACTTTATGTAGCCAAGGTTAATTAAACTAAAAACAATCTTACTCATGTAGGTCCAAAAAAATAATGATAAAAAGTAAGTGATGACATCTTTCTGATGAAAACTTACTCACATGAATAAGTTCCACTAATGTGATTTCCATGATAGACTTTCACTCTTGAAATGTCAGTCAAGAAATCTTAATGATGAATAAGTTACTTATGAAAATTTAGTCATTGAAACTCAACTTTAAAAATTTTGATAAAAGCGTTACTCAAAGATGGCGAGTGAGCGAGCGACGCGAATAATGATACATATGTCAACATATGACATCAACAAAATTTGCATTGTATCAAAATTCGCGCCGCGTTTGCCTCTTGAGGCTGTCTAGTTACCGACGTCCAGGGCCCCTGGTCTAGCATCCAGGTGCATCCACTCGCATCCCTGACATCCAGGCGGTATTCTGGAGGTCTGATGGAACTACCCCAGCATCTTGGTGGATCTACACCATTCAGACGATAGCATCCAGGTGTATCCACTGGCATCCCCGGCATCCAGGCGCTATTCTGGAGCTCTTGGCCAACTTACGCAGCATCAATAAGGTGCATCCACAAAATCTAGACGTTATTACCGACGTCTAGGACACCTGGTTTATGACCCAGGTGCATCCACCCGCATCCACAGCATCCAGACGGTCCAACAGCTGGGACAGGCATCCAGGCAGAGGCCTGCTGCGAGCGAGCTAGGTAGGCATTGGTAGTAGAGCGAGAGCATCACATGCCCCAGATGCCCAGTTCCCTGGCGAGCGGGCGGCGAGCGGGCGAAGGCGCCCAGTTAGCCCGCTCGCTGCAGGTGTAGGGCTCTGGATTTCAGGGGTGTCCATTCGCGTCCCCAGCGATCAGACCGTATATTGTCACGCGCCAAGCCTCGGAGCGTCTGCCAGCTCGGCAATCTTTTCCCTCCCGCCACCGCTGCGGGACTGGTGGCCTACCTGCCCCTGCCGCTCTCCCGACTCCGCCCGGAAATCGGCTGGAGCCGAGCCGCTGCCGATAGTCTTCCCAGCGAGAGAATAGTGTATCTTTCCTTGTCGCTCTCGAAGCATTTCCGTAAGGTGCGAGAGGGTACCCTATTCTTTCGCTGGGACGACCAGAACGCTCGCCGGAAGAACGGTTCGTTGGTCAGTTTGTGAGAAAGGTCCAGCAAGGAATCACCTGTTCGTTTGCTGCCCTGTCGCCTCTACACACCATGTGCTCGCCTACCATCAACAGCCCTGCGGGTGAGTCAAATTCTCCGTCCTCGCTAGCCAAGGTCAAGTTTCGGTTTTATGCATCGATTATACCAATATTTCTCTTCCTTTAGGGCTTTTTGTACTTGGCGACAAGAAATTTAGAATGGGCTACGCGCTCATCTGAAGGCCGCCCCAAATGCCTTGATGCAACTTTGTGGCAATCCAGCATAGTGACGTAAGTCCACTTACGTCACAAACTGAGTTATTGTGTACAGAAATATCTACTCATCAATGCGCATCTTTGGGTGAAGTCAAAACTTAATTCTATAAATTAGGCAAGGAGTTATGAGCAAAGAAAATGTGTTGCAAGTCAGAAAGTTGGCTTTGCATTCAATAACAATGTCGTAAGTGTAGCACTTGTTTTATCACGTTTTCTGTATTTATAGTTTTTCACTGTATTGTTAAACAAAACCAAAAAAAAACTAGTATTTTGTTTTGCCTTTCAGACATTAATTAATGTCCTTGACTTTAATATCCCGGCAATTTTTTTTTAACAGTATGTTGTGGATGTTCTGCTCAGATGTAAGACGTCTGTGCGCGGGGTATCGTCACCCAAAGATACCGCGGCGACGGCGATACTCTTTGCCGTTACCCATGTAAAGGGGCTATGTACAGTCACTTGACTATATGCAGTATCCAGCCTATCCACCCGACGGGTTCTTCTTTAATAGAAAGGCTGTCAGCTGTGAGCACAGTGTTGAAATGGCTAATTTTGTGGGGTCTGGTTGCTGTACTGACTGCAGAAGAAAGAAATTAAAAGAAAAGCATTATTTCTAAAGTTTTATTTTCAAAGGTTTCTATTTACTTTGTTAAAGCTGCATATCTCCTCCATTATTTGTGTAAAGCTTTAGGTTAGGGTTAGGGTACTGTGTGTTTGTTAACACCAAACATTTTCATTTATCATCTGTAACTCTTCTCCAGTAATTATTATTTGTATTAACCATATGAATTTCTTTCCTCTTTTCTGCAGGTGAAGTATTATTGTTATGTCACCATGTTTGGACCTCAAAATGTATCTACTAGATCCAAAGTGATGTTTTTAAGAGTCCAACAACAAAATATAATTCCAAATTCCTTGAATGGTATGTGATTCATCCTTCTGACGGTGTTTCAATTCTCTGCCAATTCACCAGATTGACAGAATACAGGTCGAATTAATCGTTGTTGTCTTTATGTTACAGGTACTGGAGAGAGTGCTGACGAAGGGAGAAGCGATGATGAGGAACAGGCCAGAGACAGTAGTAAGAACGAGAAGAATGTCACTGATGGGAGGAAAGACGAGAAGGATGGGAAGAATGTCACTGGGATGAGGAAAGACAAGGACATTGCTAAAGAAACAAAGAAGATCAGGAAGACTGTCACTGGCAAGAGGAAAGAGAACAGTGTGAAAGAAAGAAAGAAGGATAACGGGAAGGTCATTGAAGAGAGGAGAGACATGGAGAAAACATCCAAAGAAAGCAAGCTGAGTGAAAAGAATTTGAAAGAAGTCAAGGACCAGCAGGGGGAGAAGACAGTGAAAAATGCCAATCCAATAAAGGGAGTCAAAGAAGTCACAGAGATAGAACATGATGCTTTGTCCTTTACAGGATCAGAAGTAAACGTTCTTAGTCCAAACTTTGTGAAAGAAGTGCGTGATTCTGTCTCCCTGTCAGTTGATAAGAAAGTCAGATCTTGGTTGGAAACCTTTGAAGGTGAGCACCTGACTCAATGGTAAGTGAACTTTCTTGTAACTTGTATTGCCAATGAGAATAATACGTGTTCCCTCTACTTTACAGGTCCTTCACCCTCACAAGCTACAGTACTAGATAAGGAAAACATTCTATCTTCCCCCAAGAAATTAAAAAAGGATGTATGTGATAACAGACATGGAATGAAGTCACTCAAATCTGGTAGACATAAGTCTAGAGGTAGCAAACCTAGAAATATATTACACCAGTCTCTCAATATTTCTCCACAACAAAAGTCAGGTAAAGGCGGTTTTTATATTATTTTCATGTTAAGACTACTGAAGGAATCAAACAAGTAATCTAATATTTTCTTGGATTGTGAAGCAGTTGGCTTGAACACCAAAAGCAGCACTGCAATCCCACCAACTATTGAAAGTGAGGCTGATAGATGCTCTTCAGATACAACTAATAATAAACTGAGTGTACCTTCAGCAAACACAACAGAGCTGTCATCACAACAAGGTAAACTGAAACTAAAGTGTTGCAGGACAGTCTATTTTTGATGGTCAAATGTTAATATTTTCTGGTATTCCTTCTAATTTGGCTAATCCCTTCATTCTGTTACAGATGTTTCCACTAAGGAGAGAGTTCAAACTGATTCCAAGCCCGTAACCAGCATTGTCACAGCTAGAAAACGTTTGGGTAACACTTCCTTGTTGTTGCCGAGTAAACAGCAACCAGGTAATGATAACTTGAACAGTAAGTTCTTCTTGTAAACTAAATATTACACAACTTAATACTGATAATTATTTCTTGATTTTTGGCAGTTCTCAGACGTACTAGAAACAAAGTCTTTTCAAGTGAACTGGCAAACGTTTCACGGTCAGACCCAAAGACTCAAGGCATCAAAAGTCTTAAAACTAACTGAAGTTGTGGCACTCAACTATTGCCCACTCCTAAATCTACTGATATAGACTTCAATAGTTCCCCTCCCAAAAGCACATCACAGTCAGGTAAGCTGACTTTGAAGAGTTTATAATAGTTAACTTTATAAGGTAAACTGTTAATTAATCCTATGTTATTTCTTTAAATTAACTTATCTAATTTGTTCATTGCGTAACAGATGTTTTAAATGAAGAGAGCGAAGGTTGTTCAAGGACGAGGTTGTTCATTGTCAAAAGAAAAACAAGTTTGGATAATACCACTCTGTTGCTGTCTGAGCCTCAATCAGGTATAAGAATTTGTTTAGAATCTTTCTTTTCTGAGTAATTACTGGTGTGTGATGTGATTTGGTTATTGATTTTATTATTATTATTTGCTTGTTCTGCAGTTGTCACGAGAGAAGTTCCTGAATTATTGACATTAACAGTTTCTGCTAACGAAGCAATTCCCATTAAACTTGCTTGTAGTACACGTTTAGACTCAAAGACTGAAGAAAGTCTGATCACTATTCATAGTGTACCAGAGCCAGGTAAGCTGACTTTCTTAAGAGTTGCCAAGACAATAAATTTTGTTAAACTGTAATTTGTACTACATATTATTGCTTTGAATGAAGTTATGTAATCTATTTATTCTATTACAGATGTATCACATGAGGAGAGATCAACAGCTACTGATGGTGACAAAGTAATTCCCAGCAAGTTTGCAAAAGTTCAAGAGTCAATCTCAATGCCTAAAGAAATTGGAATTCCTGAAAATTCTCAAAGCAGTGCCCATTCTAAGACTGTTGATGCCCCTTCTGAGAGAAAATCAGAGGTGTCCAAAGAACCAGGTGACATTTTTTCTTTAATGAGTCCTCCTCAAACTGCTTGACCGTGACCTCCGCTTCCTGAGGGCCGACCATCATGAAGCCCTCATCAGAAGCTTGGCTTTCAGCTCCTCCTTTTTCTGCTCCTCCAGATGAGAAGCCTCCATGAGAGTCTTGTTGAATCTTTTCCATTATGCACTGTAGCCACGAAACCCATATGCCTTGTACCTGCCTGCCTTTTGACCCCCTGATTTCATGACCAGTCTAACGCAGTTTGTTTCCTTGTTGTTTTTCACCCCGTGTATGGTGTTATGAGTATGACAGGTGTTATTTGAAGTGTGGACATGAGAATGGTTTTTGTTTTGTCCACGTAGTTGTCTGTGGTTGTACCTCAGTGTACGCAAGAGTGTCTGTTCCTCCTTCGACTGGTCCTAAATATTGCAAAGTGTGGTCAGCAACTTCTGATATGCTTAATTATTTTGAGAGTGTTTACGCTACTTTTGCTTTTGTCATCTTGTGTAATCTTGCAGTCGAAATGGTTTGGTTTTAGGTACCCTGGTATGTTAGAATTGTCTATTTGAATGTACTGTTGTAGCATTTGTGTTGAATAATTATTGTCTTATCATGGATGTAATTTTTTTATGGCATTTTGCGGAAAAGTTTCTTTAAAATATTGATTGGTTGCTTGTTTAAATATGGCTATTGTGTATGGCTATTTGTATTGTCTAATTGTATGTATATTGTGTAAAGCTGCTGATGTTTAATTGGTAGTGTAACTGTTGTGTATAATTTGTTTTTGTGAATTGTGTTTCGATTGGAGTATGATTCTTGTATGATTATTATGTATGATATTGTTCTTGTTTCAGTAACACTGTGGGTTCGAGCACCACGTTTGAATTGTCTTTATATATTGTTTATATTATTACTTGTTCTTTCTCATTGCTCAACCCAATGCTTTAAAATAAAATAGCAGTGTTTAAAATATTCAATAGTTGTATAAACTTATTATTAAATCATTAGTGATGGATGGCTGGCATAAATCTAATCAAGTTTCAAGACCCACCTTTAGTTGTACTTATGCTGGGTAAAGAGGAGGTAGAGATAAAGGTGGGGGGGGGGGGATATACCCGGGTCTAGGTAACGGATGAGCACTGTCAATCATCACTTGTTCATTGAGAGATTCAAACAACCAGTTTCTTCGTTTGTTTTCTTTTTGAAGAAAGTGTGTCGGTTATATGCTCAAATATATTTATTTTATTGATCAACAATGAAAGAGACAGCACCTTAACTGGTTAATTGGAATGCATACTAACTTGACAATATGAATTTTGAATAATGCATTGACCTGCAGGTAAGGAAACCAACAAGAGAGAACTCTTAGAAGTCTTGCATAAAACAAATAAACAGTTAATCTTGTACGATCTTCATAAGGTTAGAGACTATCTTTGATTAATCTAGTGAGAACTGTAAATAAAAAACACTCCTTGTTGAGGATTCTTTTAAACATTGCGCTTACAGTACTTAATAGGTTCCCAAGAAAATCCAATATAAATAAATAAATAAAAAGAGTTAAAATTGTGAAGTTTAGTTAAATGAAGCAATAATTTGCCTTTATCCAGAGCTTGACAATATAATCCTATACAAACACTAGATTTATCAAGGAATTAAATTTATTCTATACATATGCAAAGATTAACAGAGAGTAGCAGAGATATGCTCAAACCAATTATATATGCTTAGACATGTAAGTTATCGGTATTAATACTTCACTTACGAGAGCTTTGTTCAAGTCAATTCTAACATTTATACAATGACTGCTTCAGTAGTTTGCTGCACATAATTTTAATAAGATACTTTCTGCAACAAACACTATAGAATAAAGTTTCTTTCATAGAAGTTATCTAGTCAATCTCAAAGTGATTAGGTAGTGGGGCAGCATAAGTCACTCCTGTCACAGACATCTTCAAAACCGGTGACCTGATATCAGTCGGCTTGATGAAGTGCAGCAAGTCAAATTCAGGTGGTAGCACAGATGACAGTTGGAGAGCAACTTCAAAAGGTGACCTCTGAGCCACATCATGCTCTGAGACAAACAGACCACACACTTCTGCTTCTCCCTGGTTGAATACGACAATACTTCTTATGGTGCATATTGTGTTGAAGTTAGTGAAAACCATAGAGTCATCTGACTTTATTTCAGACCTGTCCAATGCAACTCTGTACCGAACACTGTTCACAATCATTTTTTCATACACTTTCATAACACAAACATTATTCATTTTCTCCTTATGGAGCACTTCATATTCTTCAGGAGTTGGCGGTCTTGATGTGTGTTTTCCCACAACGTAAACAGATTGCATAATCTTCTCAGCTTCAACTAACCGTCTCTTCTTCAAAACATACTGCAAGCGGAGTTTGATATAGTCTGGCACATCCTCTTCTGCATAGCTTTTCAAACAAACGGCTAAGTACATGAGATGTCTCCATACAACCTGAAGAATGGCTCCTTTAGGAGATGAAACGAGCTGGATAATGTTGTGATTCCAAGATTCAAAATTAAAAGTGGAATAAGCCCAAAGTGGGCCTAGTTCTCTTACACTCCTGCAAACGTGGATCAGATTGTGCAGGTTCAGTTTGGTCCTTTCAATTCCACCATAACACTCCTCATTTCTCGTTAGAAACATTTTGAAGCACCTGTCTGCTTCTAGCAAATTTTCTTCACTAATACTGTCAAGAGAGACTATATATGTTCCTCTAGACAGATACTGAAAATTTTTGAGGTGATTAGCTTGAATGAGACCAGACATACACGGAAGTCCAAAGTACAGGAGCCAGTTTCGCCACTCTGTTCCTGTCCACTGAGCTCTCTTCTTGATACTGCAAGTTCCAGGCTTCCTTGAAATGCAGGAGGGAGTTTTGATTTCAGAAAGACGTTGGTCAATAAGTTCACACAGTCTATCATATCCCATACCATCAGGGAAGAAGAAAAACTCTTCTGAGGGAATGGCCAGTGAAGACTCTTCCAAAGCAACTTCCAAAGCGACGAAAGAGAATAATGAAAAGTCTTCAGTAGATCTCCCCAAAACAGAAGTTTCTAAGCAGGTGCCAAAAGATGTTAAGGCCAGCACGTCTGCCTCAAATGCCAAAGAGCAGGAAAAGTCTTCGGCAGCTGACCCAAAAACTGATGTTTCCAAGCAGGTGCCAAAAGATGTTAAGGCCAGTACTTCTACCTCAAAGTCTAAGGAGAAGAAAAAGTCTTCGGCAGCTGACCCCAAAACTGATGTTTCCAAGCAGGTGTCAAAAGATGTCAAGGCCAGTACTGCTACCTCAAATTCTAAGGAAAGGAAAAAGTCTTCGGCAGCTGACCCAAAAACTGACGTTTCCAAGCAGGTGCCAAAAAATGTGAAGGCCAGTACTTCTACCTCAAAGTCTAAGGAGAAGAAAAATTCTTCGGCAGCTGACCCAAAAACTGATGTTTCCAAGCATGTGCCAAAAGATGTCAAGGCCAGTACTTCTACCTCAAATGTTAAGGAGAAGAAAAAGTCTTCGGCAGCTGACCCAAACACTGATAATTCTAAGCAGGTGTCACTCCAAAAAACTAGGATGGACTCCGAGGTGACAATTATTAAAATATTTAATACTACTTTGTTGACGAGTATTAGCCTGATTGGACTTAATCTTTGAATGTATATTTCTTTTATACAGGATTCAATATTTCGATCAAGATCAACTACTGAACCTACTAAAGTACTGACTACAGACCTACCACGAAAGGAAACGAATGATTTTGTTAATGATATTCTGATGGATCGCAGTAAAAGGAAGGAGCAACAAGGCATAAAAGAAAACACTGCTGTGCAGGTAATTCTTAGATTTATAGATCTTTATTCAGCTCTCATTGTATCAAAGGAATAATCCATTTCATAATTATTTGTTTTTGGAGCAGATGGAATCTTTTGACTTGCCTCTCCTTCCTGTTAGTTCTAATCTCAAGCCGGTAATTAGACATTTATTCAACTTTTTCTATATTATTCCCTGTTGCAGAAGTTATCAAGTATATTTCTTTATTCATGCAGGGTTCCATAAATAAGTTTGTCCAAGATATGGATTCATCTAATCGAAAGCGCAAAACACCCGATAATTTTGATTTGGTATTTTGAAAATAAATTTTGACCCAAGTTATCAGAATTTGTCTTCTTGTTTTCACTTACAAGTTAAACACACAGTGATTTTTTTGTTTTGTTGCAGGATGAGGATTTGTCCAGAAGGCTGCCAAAATCTCGCTGTTTTGATACAGATGTGAAAGAAACCTCTCTTTCTAAAAATGCTGAAGATGCAGCTTGTGCTCCATTCAAGGTAACTTTTTGTTATTACATTTCAAACGTTGTACCCTCTTTGAATAGGATTGTTTCCAATTTATGAAATTTTTTTTATTACTTATTTTTTGCTTTTACCTTCAGCGCAATCTTATTTTATTGGTTTTCTTTCTTTGCACAGCCCCCACCGACACTGCCTTGTTCCATAAACCTTAATTCTACATTTAGTCCATCCAAGGTAATTTCTTGGTATGACGCTGTACTTTGAGTGGGACTGTTCACATTTTTTTCATGTCTTTATGCTTTTATCCTCATTTTGACCCTTCTACTGGGTTCCTTTCTTTGTAGCCTGCCACTGAGTCAGTAATACCCCCAGCCTCTTATTCTGGAGCTGCGGCTAATGGAGCTTCTGGCTCCAGCCCTGTAACTGTGGTAATTAATTTTCCCCCCTAAGATGAAAACTATTCTCTCTTTGATAGGATTTTTACATTTTTGTTTTTTTTTCTTCCTCTTATTTTCATGTTTTAATGCTTTTATCCTCGTTTTGACCCTTCTACTGTGTTCCTTTATTTGTAGCCTGCCATTGAGTCAGTAATACCCCCAACAGACCCTCCTCTGGATGGGGAAGCCTCTGGACCTGTGGTTAATAATGGAGCTTCTGGCTCCAGCCCTGTAACTGTGGTAATTCATTTTTCCCCCTAATATGAAAGCTATTCTCTCTTTGATAGGATTTTTACTTTTTTTTTTCTTCCTCTTATACATGTAGTCTACAGATAAATTCTGGTCTGAAATAAACCAGGTTAGTAGAGTTTTTTCCAAAAAATTATGTTTAGCAAATTTATTGCTGAGGGTTATTTTATTTTAATGAAACAATTGTTAGTTAGTTGGTGTCATAGTTTGTTTTATATTTTCTGGCAGTAGTGTCATCATGACCTACAGCTGTATCAGGAAAAGAAAAGTATTTATAGCAGAAAATATAACTCTTCTTTTGCAATCTTTCTTTTAGAAAAATATTGTTAGGTTGAACAGACTTTTTGCCACTGAGGATTTCTGTGAGGCACTCGGGCAAGAAGAAGTTACCCAAAACTGGCTCTTTAATTCTAATGTAGGTGTATTGTGGTACTGTGGTCATTTTACATCTACCTGATTAATTCGAGTTTCTTGCAATATAATAGATATTTTAAATCTATGGCACACCAATTTAGCAATAGGTTTGCAAACTTACAACTCATGTAAAGAACAATGTTAGAGTCACTGAGAGTTTGTAGAGTAACTGGTAAGCTTTTAATGGAACTGTTGACACACCTTAAAATTTTATTTTCTTATTTAGACAACAGGCTATGAGGTGCAGACCCTACAAAATGACATGAATGAGTTGAAAGATAAAGTAAACCAGTTGATTGAGGATGTGCATAATATGAAAGAAGACATAATCAAAACCATTTTAGGTGACTAACAATTTAACTAAGATAGATTAAATAATGCAAAACAATGCGACTACCATTTTTTTTCTTTTCAGATGCCCCGAATGGAATTTCATTCAGAAGTAGCAACAGGCCTTCTAATTCTGATGAATCAAGTCAAGATAAATGCAAAAATGCTTCATCCTCTACTGTGCAAATGGTACGTCTGCAATCAGTTCTTATTTATATTGTTGTCATTTTTATCCCTTGCATCTACAAAAATTGAGGTTCCTTGTCAAGGTTTACTTATTCTTTACCTTTTGTTCCATGTTTGGTTTCTGTAGATCTCTTTTGGAAACAAACAAATAAGCAGCAAAGAGTTGTCAAAGATTTTGCGGTTGGAAGATACAGCCAGACACAAAATAAGATCACTGTTAGAAAAATTATACACAGAGTCGGAGCTGGCGGTCATGTGGCTTGAGCAGGACAAGAGCAAAAGCCGTAAAATTATAGAGAGTGGTGTGGTTGCGGAAATTACTCGTAAGTATAACTCTGTTTCTATGTTTTCACTCAAACTTTTGAAAATTATTTGTAACAACTGCTATAGCATTCCTACTTTCTTTTGCAGGCCAAATGAACTCAAAATCAAACAACAGACTTATTAGAACTGGAGAGCCTGCACGAGGCTATTCATTTACTGTTACTGATATAAGGACATACTTGTCTAAAGTTTTACACCAAACAAGATCAAAATGTATTGGGAGTAAAGATAATAAAGTTACTAATGAAGAGAGTTTAGGAGGAGGTCCTGACAAAGACATAAAAGGGCATGAAGATAAAGACATTGATCGAATTGAAGATAGAGACCTAGAAGGGGATGAGGACAAAGAAGGGAACGAAGATAAGATCAAAGGGGATGACGATAAGGTGAAAGAAATGGATGAAGATAAGGACAAAGAAGACAATGAAGTTAGCCTTGAAGAGTATGCAAATGAAGTTCGTTATGAAGATAATGAAAGTGAAGCTAGTCATGGAGAGAATGAAATTGGTCTTGAAGAGGGTGAAAATGAAAATAGCTTTGATAGCTCATCAATTGATGAGTGAAAGGTTATGAAATGAATCTTTGTCTTTTTTTAAGATTTTAAAATTATATATCTGAATTTTGAATTTTTGATTAAGGTTGTTTTGCAAAAGCCAGGTTGTTTTCTTTATTAATTCTTAATTGACGAACTATAAACATTCCAAAAATGAATTATTCATATGTTTATAAAGCTTTAAGTAAGTGCTTTTCTTTTTTAAAGCCAAGACTGGTAAATGGTGCCATTCCTTTTTTACGTATATGGATTTCCAATTTTTAAAAGATAGGTGCCAAATCCTTGAAACCCTGTGTTTTTTGGAATATACTAAAGATAATTATACCAATTTTTAAAAAGCTGTAGGTTTTATTTGTATCTACTGCTGGTTTTTTTCCCAAAATTGTACAAGAGTTAATTACCTGTTGCATTTAAGGTAGAAGGAGAATATAATATGCATTGGGAGAATTAGTGTTCTCTGATAAAAATTTGCCAGACTGAACCGGTTTTATTTGCCCTCTCTGTACTTACATATTATTAAGTATGAATAATGTTTTATTTGTTAAATGAGTCTGTGTTTTATTTAGTGTACTTTGTAATAACCCAGTATATGTTGTTTTGAAGAAATTATCCTCCTTTATTCTTGTTGGATATTTTTTAAAGCTTTTACTTGAAATTAAATTAGTTTGTACAATTGCACTCTTCTTCAATATTCTCCTTTTTATTGTTCCAAGGGAACTTTGCTGGTGAACAAATTCAATTAACTAATATTTCTATCAGGAATCCACAGAACAGAAAAAATCTGAAAACCTGTCGATCATGTTTCTGACAATTTGTTAACAAACTGAACTTCTATATACAGTTACACTATTTTTCCTAATCTAAAATCAATCAGCTGAAAGCCACAGAAAACCAACTGAACTGACTTAAACACAGTCGTACTAGTTGAATTCCAACAAATTTGTACGCCCCAAAACAAAATCAAGCACCATGGTGGGAGTGCCCACCTAGGATATGAGATGACAGAGATGTAGGAGGTTAAAGTAGTGTGTGCTCTTTATTTATTTATCAACTGCTTTTGACAAAAAGAACACTCCAATCGGAATCAAATAGCCATTGCAATAACACATAAATTGTAATGAAAGAATTGCCTTTCTCTCAAAATAATTTTCTAATTCAATATTTACAAATTGTCAGTAGCAGTGTCAGTAGAAAAATCTACCTAATCTTACAATTGAGAGGTAATGCTCACATTTCACATACTAACAACACTGATTATAAACAGAGTTATACATAAAAACATTATGAAATCAGATGATAAGCTTAGCAAGACTGGTGCAGATACGTAGAGAGTTGAGTTGGTTCACCCAATGACAGCAGCTCTCGTGCGGGTCCCACATAATGAAACTGAAACAAAGAGAAGTATGAATTAAAATTAACGAAATGTGTTAAAATTCAAAAGTAGATTCATCATCTCAGTTGTGTAACTACCTCTAGCTTAGTGAAGTTCCTTGGCATCTAGAATTGTTAGACTCTCTTCAGAACTATATCGAGTGAGTTGAAACAAATCACAAAACGGTGACCTGCAAGAATGAAAACAAAACAAAAATATAATGCAACATAAACATGAGTAAGTTATTCACAATAACTTTACAAGCAAAAGAACACTAGATAAAATCCTTGATTTAAAAAAATTGTACTTGTTTGAATAACATCAGGAACTATGATAACGGTTAGGTAATTAATAAAGTAGACTAAGGAGCAGTCTACAACAAGATAAAAACTGTCACACAAGCTAGTTAAAAGCCCATAATACAATTAATAAGCTATAGAGAATATACCACATTTAAAAGAGCTTTCTACTAGACCAAATTATGAATGAATAACGGTTTGAACGAGAATGTTAGTTTACCATGTATAGTTCTCTTTGCTTATGAAAAACATACATAAATGTTACATACCCTTTAGAATTTGGAGGATTTCCGCAACAAGGAACCAGATGAGAGAAAAGCAGTCAGTTACTCCAGACGTATGATCTTTGACAACTTGGAACTAAATACAAATTTTACCCTCCATATTATATGGACAGATTAGAAGCTGTTCAAATGCAACCAATCGGTTGTCTGAGCACTACAGAGAGGTGACAAGACCAGTAATTTATGAATGCACTTCTTTTGTAGAGAATGGAACAAAGAAGCCATCAAAACGAGCTCGCAGAGAAAGGAAAGATCTCATAGCTCATATGACTAACAGATTCTCAGTAATATTTTACTTTCATTTTACTTTGTTCAATTTTATGTAGTTAATATTTTTAATAAACCTAACCTTCATTACTTTAACTGTATTACATACTTTTAGAGCTGGGTCCTACTCTTGTTGTTTTTTTTGCACCCAAATTACACGAGTGAGTCAGTTTTAAAGTAAAGCTACTTATTAGAGATGAATTACAGCACTTTTTTCGGTCCCTTCCGTTCCTAAAAATGATAAAGGAAAGAAACAAACCTCAGACACGGCTAAAGTCGCTTTATAAAGTTTCAATGAAATCGGATTTTCATTTCCCCACCTTGGCATCTCCACGCCAATGTATACATTCTTCCTGGCCACACAACTTTAAATTTCATCAAGTATTCGTTACCAACACCACTTACGCTTTGACGGCAAAAAAACAAACAGATCGAACCCACAACAACAACAATGCTTCGTTGCCCTCCCTCAACCCCACCCCCACCCCCCCATCATCTGATCTGCTCCGCGCTCAAGGTCAAGTACGCGACTCACGAGCGCGGCGCGATCGAGCTGGACTGGAGGCCCAGCACTTGGTAAGTTATGTTGTCTATCCTTCTTACAGTTTTTTTTTAAAATACAAATTTATTTAAATTTAAATTTGCAATATTTTAGTTGTGTGATTCTGGTGTTGCTGCATATTTTTACTTTTTATTCATTTCAGGATCAAGAAGATAGTGCTGTTTTATGTGACTATAAGGAGAGATTGAACCAGGATTTTAAAAGGCCTTGTAAATCAAAAGCCCAAAAGGTCAAGACCATGTTTAAGCGTGAATGAGGCCTGAGTTTATAGAAAAGAACTTCAGCAACCATGCAGATAATAACTGAGTAAGTTTGACTTTGTTTTCTCCGATATATTGTTCTTGTTCTCTGGTTAATCTTATGCCACTTTTTGTTTGTTTTTCAGCTTTAATAACAAAGTACAGTTATACCATGTCTAAATTAAAGTGGCTTGTCATCACAACTGTTTTACCTTAACAGTGTTAACACATGTAACATAATTTATTCTGTGGCTTCCAAGTTGGCGTTATTTCTTATTGTAAAATTCCGGTGCCACCTCAATAAGAGTTCCCCGAGCTGATGTTAGAAGCATTGGAGGCCAAACGCCTAAAGACCCCCGCAACACACGCCTGCTAAAGTGGTGGCCTACCAGTGCGGCTGGAGGCGAAGCGTCGTTGGCGCTGTAGTATTACCACGGGAATCGGGTATTGTCGTAAGCAGTAGGGCAGGATGGCTGGGGCACTGCCACTTGAATACTAGGGGACGATTTGGATGAATCATAGGGTATCATCTAGAAAATGTCCGTCATATTCGTCGTTACGAAACTGAAGACATGCAAGGTCTCACAACGCCTGATAGGTAGGCAACATCTTGCCTGCTGTGCATGCCTGTACCGCGGGGTGGCCTACCCCGAGTCTCACAGGCGCCGAGCTCCCACGATTTGACCAAAATGGATCCTGAAAACAGACGGTTTCTGGACAACCACTAGCCCTGCGCGGCCTGGGAGGTTCTTAGAGACGGAGCGAGCGACCAAACGGAGGCGTGGACGGTACTGTGATCGAACGGGGAACGAGCCTCACGAGCTCTTATAACTTCGCTGCGAGGGTTGGGCGACTTGAATTTTTCGTGTACACAGGAGTACGGAGTACACGGAGTACAAGTCGGAGAACACTTAGTATTGCCGGTCGGAGCGCGCAGAGTACACCTGGAGTACAGTCGGAGTACGCGGAGAACTTGCGACAAAAACAGCCGGAGTACTCGGAGTACAATCGGAGAACACCTGGAGTACATTTTGGCCTGTACATAGGAGCCACCCAGTCGTCCACCCCTCGCTTCGCTGTCACGCTGTCAACGTGTTCGAGTGCAGCTCGCTGTCGAGAATGCCATCTGGACGCTTAGGACGCACATAGATGCAGTGGAACATGCCCCAGCTGTTGGATATTCGGTCTGATCGCTGGGGACGCGAATGGACACCCCTGAAATCCAGAGCCCTACACCTGCAGCGAGCGGGCTAACTGGGCGCCTTCGCCCGCTCGCCGCCCGCTCGCCAGGGAACTGGGCATCTGGGGCATGTGATGCTCTCGCTCTACTACCAATGCCTACCTAGCTCGCTCGCAGCAGGCCTCTGCCTGGATGCCTGTCCCAGCTGTTGGACCGTCTGGATGCTGTGGATGCGGGTGGATGCACCTGGGTCATAAACCAGGTGTCCTGGACGTCGGTAATAACGTCTAGATTTTGTGGATGCACCTTATTGATGCTGCGTAAGTTGGCCAAGAGCTCCAGAATAGCGCCTGGATGCCGGGGATGCCAGTGGATACACCTGGATGCTATCGTCTGAATGGTGTAGATCCACCAAGATGCTGGGGTAGTTCCATCAGACCTCCAGAATACCGCCTGGATGTCAGGGATGCGAGTGGATGCACCTGGATGCTAGACCAGGGGCCCTGGACGTCGGTAATT